AAACAAACCCATTCTACAAATGAGAAGTTCACAGGAAATGAAGCATGCATGTAATCCAGCATTACTGTTTTGAATTTCAATCCTGCATTTAGTGTTTACTCTCCCAAACGTCCTGTACAGCTGCTGCTGCTGCTGCTTTCCATTAAATGTGCTAAACTGGTGATACACAGGGTGACTTTAATAATGCACCAGTCATGATATAAATGAAATATATTTGTCACTGGAAGTAGCGCTAACTGTGACAGTTAATTAACACAAATAAATGCATCAACAAAACTAGTAAACAGTATTTTTCGAATCTCCAATGCCTCAGCAAGGTATCTAACAGTGCCGTGCTGTCAGGTCGAGCATAATGACCCTTTAAAGCAAAAAATAGACATCAATTAGATTAGATTAACGTGGAAATGACATCTCTCCTTACATCCGATCTCAGATTCTATCTCTCCTGATGAATATGATATTGCCTGTTTGCATTTATTTTGCAATTTACTTCTGACTTGACAGCAGGCCATTGTCTCTGAAAGCTCTGACAAGTGATTAGCTATAGCTCGCTGCAGACAAGTGTGCTTGTCAGGCTTCCTTTGTATTATATTATTCCATGTATTAAGTACAGTGTGGAAACTTTACTCATTAAAAAAAGTACTTTCTTCTTAGCAGGTGAATAACCAAATCAGGTTGTGATTTCTCATCTGCAAGATCTGCAGTAGTCGTGAGAAGTTTGAGTCGTGCAGCAGCTTTAAATGATAGTTAAGAGCGTAAAAGTGAGCGAGAGAATGGGCGCATGATGGTGAGGCTGGCGACTGAAGAGTTACCAGTATGGCTGTGAATACCACTGAAATATATGTCGAGTTTAGGCGGCTTGTCAGTAAATAAATCCTACAACTCCTCGAGACCAAAACCAAGCACCCCATACCCTCACTGCTGTCAGGCGCCCTTGTCCGCAACACTGCTCATATATGCCATGGCTACAGAATAATTGCCCTCACATACTACAGTCCATCATCAACAACTGCTGTCAAATAAGGCGGTGACAACAAGCCAAGAAGTTACAGTGAATTCATTCATTTCCTCACTGCTATGTTTTAACCCCTTACATGAAAGTTACATTGAATAATATATTGTATCATATATATTATAAACTTTGCACGATTGTCACACACTCGTCTGTTTCACCTCTGTGAAATACTCTTGCCAGTAACACTGTCCTGGTCCTAGTCACAGTTATAAAATAACCTGGTATGCCTGGATTTAATTACTCCACTCCAGTCTGATAATCCACGCCTTCTGCGTAGTTATCACATTAATCTATTCCTCTCAGCTAATTAAGGCGAAGGATTTCTTAGAAAAGATCGCTAGGAGGTTTGAGGAGAATTTTGAGATCACACAGGAGCGTCATTATTAGTTAATGGTAAATATTTAGAAGATTGTGATGGATATTTTTTTTTCAGTTTAAAAGAATAATTCTAATCACTCTATGGCCAGGAAATGTGCAGAAAGCTGAAGGTGCGTGTGTGTGTGCAGCTCTCCTTGCCGATGTGTAAAAGTAATCACACGTCACTGATATCCAACTTAATTGTGCCCTGCTGCTGCGCCATGTGCAGCAAGAAATCTGATTGCAGCTGCTCATGTAATTGGAAAAAAAATGTTAATTAACTTTAATACCACTTGCAAAAATGTTTTTTTCTGGCCGCTTGGAGACATTCAGACCAAATTACTGATCTTTTATCAACCTTTTAAAATCAATAATGTGAACCTGTTAGCAAACACTTGTTTACACATCCAGTAGTTATGGAGCAACGTTGTTATTCATATTGAAGCATGTTTCTGACCAAAATTCAGTCTCCTATTTGCCCTCTTTCTGGTCTCTCCCAACTCCTGAGGAAAATTCATATGTATATCAAATTAACTCATGAATCCTTCATTAGTTCTTCATTCATTATTTCAAGTCAACAGACCTCAAGTTTGAGCAGCTTATCTTAGCAGTTCTAAGGTCATCTAAAAAATGAAATGAGGTAAGTTGAATTAACTTGAAATCCACACGACTTACAAATTATATTAAGTTAATGAGAAAAGATGACTTGAATCCACTAAGTCCTTGTATTAAGTTTTTTGCAGCTCAGGAGTTCATTCAATTCCATTTGGCACAAATCGATCAAGTTTGTCAAAACAGAGACTCGACTGGAGTTCATTCTTACCACTGAAGGGAAAGTCAATACCAGGAGAGGGAAAGAACACTTTCTTTTTAGCTCTGTCAATTAGCATTTCAAAGCGTGAGGAATGTTTTAGGGAAGAAAATGATAACCTGATTATACTCTTTCCTGGTGAGGGACAGAAGGTAATTATCAAGTAAGGAGCTTTCCATGCGGGGACTCGGATGGAAACACAGATCATAAGCACTGCGGTGCAGACCCTCAGGGCTGGACAGGCTGAAGGTGAGTTTCATGTGGATAGAACCAGATATTGTTTTTAGACTGACACACACGCATGCACGCACTCACACACACGCACACACACTCACACACGCACATTCCTTTATTGATGGATGGGCAAATATGCATTCTTAGTCCTGAGAGCCCTCACATCAACTGAAACCCTAAACCTGGACTTTCTGCATACCAACGCAGTATTCATCTTAAAGAAATCCAACAAGACTATTCAACTCAGTTTCTAAGCCACGGTGAATCAGAGGGCTATTCTTCAAATGCCACAGTAAGATTCTTCTATATTATCTAAAATTGCTAATCTACAAAAAAAATGCATCTCAGCTTGAAAGAATGCTGCGATAGCCTGTTCCATGGCAATCTGTCTTTGTTAACAAATTGTACACTGCATCCAGACCTAAAATAAAACTGGAGGAGAAATCTATCACAGAACAAAACAGCAAGAGAGAGCAAAAAGACAAAACTCCAATTGAAAAGAAGCCCCCCCACCCCCTCCCCAAAATGATGTGCTTCAACATCTATCTGTAATCAATGCTTGGCACACTAGCATGTGATTTTGGGTTACTTTGTTTCTCTGGTACAATGGGACTGAAAGGGGAAAAATGTAATAATCATCATTAAGCAGACATACCAACATCAGCGGTTTTGATGGGCCCTTAACAGACGGGAGTGTTTTGTGACAATACTTGTAATTATAGCCAAATGTACTAATCCAAAGTGAGGGAGGGAAACAAAAAAGAGCCCTGGGATGTCGTGGCAGACAATTAAAAGCGCCGGCAAGTTATTTCCCAGGGCCTCAGTCTGGAACTGAATCAAGTGCCCTGCCTTTGATGGTTTCAGGTGCTGGCTGATCAGAAGGATCAGATTTAGGCGCAAATAAAAAATGCATCAATTCTCTGTAGCTGCAGTGCTTTTAAGTGCACTGAGGCAATCTGTAAGAAACCTCACTTTGCAGAAAAGCTGCAGCGAAGTTTCTCTAGAGTGAGGATGGGGAACATAACACCTGGCCTCTGGGCCATACAGAGCCTGCAATACAGTGTGATCCAGCCCACAAGGTAAATCATAAATATAAAAAAAACCCAGTGTGAAAACAATTATATTTTTCTGTGATAAAATAAAATTATGATTAGGTGATTATTGTTTGTTCAAGACAAACCAATGTACCTAGTTTGCAGGGATCTTCTTGGAGGAATGACAGAGACCACATGCAGCTAAAACTGGAGGAGTTGCAAGAATGTGCTTGGATAAAAGTATCACTCCTCTGTAGAGTTTGACGCCAACAAACAGCTTTCACAGAACCACATTCTGACAATCAGGATGGGACGAATTTTGAGAAGAAGTTTTGTGTTTAGAGAGCTAATATATAAGAAGCTGAAGGCTAATTTAGTAGGGAAATTTGAAGGAGTGCTTTGTTGTTACTCCGGAGCTGCTTGCATGAGACAAAGTAAAATTGTTTCAAAGTGTTCGTCTTGAAGAACCATCTCAAAGTGAATTATTGATATGGCAAGATATTGAAAAAAGACAAAAGAGCACCACAAGAACTCTTCAGTTTTTTTCTCTTGCCTGTGATGAACAGAACAGCCAGAACAAAAAAACACCAAACCAGCCAAATTTACTATTAACTAGTTACAGCCACCACATAGGTTAGAGAGGTTAGGGTCATCAATGTGCATAAAAGGTAAGTTTTGCCTTCAGAAAATGCTCTACAGTTTAAATTGCAGATAGAAAGGGTTCCCGTTCCTGCTTTAGAGGAAGGATTCTAAAACAATGAGTGTTGCTTTGCAAATAAAGAAATTTGTCATTGGATCGCCAAGAACAATAGTCTCAGCACAGTGTTTGAAATGAAGCTTGGCGAAAGTTGGGATCTTGCGCATGCTTCCTAAATCCCAAGCACGGTTCCTGCCATCTCTAAACTTCACTGGCTTATTCTCACTTTTATCCAATCACAACCTGACATGCACGCCTTGAGCCAATCTCCTGTAAACTGTCAAACTTTTAAATGCTCTCCCCCCTGTCATTCAGCCGTCAGTTCAGCGCTGTGATCGCTGCACGAGCCACCTCCACCCCTGCACCACCTGACCAGAACATCTGCATCTCCTATCGCACCCTCCAGATGCCTCTGGTGAAACGTCTTAACTCAGTGCTGCATTCTTCATCACCACCACCAGTGGTAGTTGTGGAAGTCTCCTTCATTTTCAAGGAACTTAATTCATAGGGCTTCTTCTGTGGTTTTCTGCTTCCTGCCAGGGTATATGTGCAGACTTCTATTCCTCTTGTTGATAATAAATTGAATTTTATTCTAATTCACTGATTCTCATTTGTTTTCCTCTGAAGTTTCTCCTGATGGAAATACCTTTTTTAAAACTCCAAGGGTAAAAAAACCAAAGATGAAGAACTCGGCAGCCTTGCCACATAACAGCTCTTCACTTCTTTTGTGGCGACGACAATATTGCTAATAAATTCAAAGCATTTATAAAGCTGAATGATAAGTGGCTTCCTCAAAAGTTGACCAAAATTACATGGAAACTACTTCTGCCAAGCAACTCCATGGTAACTTACCTTGAGAACAGTGAAAGCAAACGAGAAGGAGCAATAGGCAGTGAAACACTGGACACCTCCACAGTGCGGAGGCCATTGTGTGCTGCGTGCAAACAATCCTGGAGCCTGTTGGCTAATAATAGTCGTTCAGTGTGTTGCAGAGGGCGAGCAGAACTCTGGAGCGATGTCAACGATCAGTCGTTCTCGGAGAAGCATCACCAGTCATCTTCTCATCTGGAAGAAAGAGAGGAGAGGGTGTAAAAATGGAGAAAATGGATGCACATCATAAGCATCATCGTAGCTGAAGCTTTGTTTAAAAGTCTAAAAATTCTGAAACAGATCAAAACTGTCATAATACTTCCACAATCTCATAGGATGGTAAAACTGTGATATTCATTTGTCAATATCAATGTATTTTCAATCATTAATGTGTTTTTATTTCCCAGTCAATACTAGAACATATGAAATTATATAAAATGATTCTATATTACTTTGTAAATACTTGCTCAGCCTGTGGTGATGCTGGTTTCAGCTTTTCTTTCTGAAACTGCAAAAGTGACCTGCAGTTTTTGAGCTGTTGCAATTTAAGACCAACTGCAGGACTGATTATTTTGGTCAAATCATGTTTGAGTGATCGTGACGGAGGTAAAAAAAAAACGTGGTAGGCTAGGTTACTGAGCTCAAGATAATAATAACCCTGAAATTCAAGTCAGCAGTGTTGAAACATTTTGGTTAAAATAAAACAAAACAAAAAAAAACAAAGTATGAACCAAACCACGGCTCAAAAATCAAGGTCTGAACAGAACCCTGGATTTGGAGAATCATTAGACCCCTGCTGCTGCTGATTCAGTTTTTCCTCTGGCTGTGTGCACTGTAATAAAATAAATCATGTGTAAATCGGAACACCATGAGAACAAAAACGTCTGGCTGCTGTTTGATTGACTAAACAAAAGCATTTTTCAGACAAATATCAAAATTCTACTCCTCAAAGGTTTATGAGGGCACCAAAAACAAAGCAGATAGCGTGCCTGCTCCTCGGCACTTATTCTGCACTCTGCAGCGTGTTACAACTGAGTGTTTACACTGCCTCATTCTTCCACTCTTCCCCGTTCCACCTTCCCCATTTACTCCCAGATCCCCGCGGGAGAAAGCTTGTCGCTCCAGCAACACGTTCACACAGGACGCCATTAGAGACACCGCTGCTTTGTGAGCTACTTTTGTCTCCTTCCTTATCAAGGGATGGCAAAACAGTCCTTTGTCTGCGAAAGCTGCAAAAGGTTAGAGCCTGGGACAGACTAGCAAACCAGACAGATAAGCTGCTTAACAAAGTCAAACACCGAGGAGGGATGTGTTGTGTCATATGTGAAATGCCACACACAAACACACACACACAAACACACATAAGACTCTCATATGCATCCCTGCACAAACATATAGCCAAGGACATGCACACTCTTGACGGCATGGACACACACATGCAGAGAAAGGGGGGCGCACAAGCACATAAGGCACACGCACACACACATTCACACACAGATATGTTGCATCTTGTTTAGTCCCTTGTGGTTGCCATCCAGGCTCTCCTCAATACACACACACACACACACACACATATTCCCACTGTACACAGGATCAGTCACTTGGTAGCCACCGCTATGCAGAGGAGAGTGAATGTTTCCCGTTTCTGAATGCAGCTCTCGTCAGCCACCCTGATTATTTTATAATGAACCTAAATTTGAGCAGCAGAGCAGTCAGCTCTGATCGCTCTCCAGGCCTCACTAATGTGCTTGGATATTTTTGGCAACATGAAAACCCACAAAACATGGGAAGCTTCCACATTAGCATGCTGAGTAATAATTTAAGTCACTATTGGATTCATTCTATACGTAACCAGTGCCTGGCCGGGACATAACATTTGAATAAAAGCCCACTGGATCTCCACCTAGTCTGAAGCAGCCTGAGAGTATTTATTTTCATTTGAGGTCACTCTGGTCGAGCAGTCGTGCAGCACAGTTTGTGCCAAGGAAACACACATACAGCCTATTTATAATTTATCACTTAAACTTGGGTGGCTTTATAGGAATTGTGGTTTTATTTGTCTTCCAGTTGTTTATCTGCCAGTGGCGCCTGACCAGATCAGATAAGAGGGAACTGAAGGGGGGGAACTTTCATAGTATCCTCCATGGGAAGCCTCACACCACATCCACGGAGGCTGCACATGCCTCTTAAGTCTCGTAACAAGACTTTCACAAGTTCAATATTGGGCAGAGCACCAAATCTCTAGAGACACATATGACTTCTTCCTCAGCCATTTATCATCTCCAAAAACGAGGCCCGGGGCCATGGGGTAACCGTAATGGTGGTTGACAGGAGGAGATTGGAAACTGTTGGGGGCACATCCCCTGGCCCCTCTGGCATGCTGGGCCTTCTGAGCCACCCAGCCCCCTCAGACACCAGGGGGCGAGAGCCTGCCAGGCCTCGCAGATGAAGTCTTGCCCTCACCACCCCAGGGTTCTTTCTCCTGATCAGCCGTCGCCCCGCTGAGTAACACGTTTTCTTTCTATCCTAAGCCGGTGGAGGACACAGCAGTGCTCATCTTTCTAAAAACACTGTTTTGTTTGGGGGACTTTCTGCACTGAATTGGTCCAGACTAAAGATAACGGGATTAGGCGATTAAGATGAAGATGCTTTGCACAAGAACTGACACACAAATCATAATTTCCCATCAGGGGACAAGTGGGAAGATGATTGTTGGGGGGAACTAAGATGTTCCCAGGCAGAAAAATGATTTGAAGAGGTAAGTGAGGGATTGTTAACCCCTCAGAGATATCTACACTGAGCCCCCACCCTCCTCAAGCCTGGGAATCGAGGTTACTTGAAACTCGTCCAGCGATTTTCACATAATGATCATCATGTTCCACTGACGCAGACGTGTACAAAAAAGGGTACACAGTTATGACTGTCACCACCTACACTAAATCTAATGTGGTCCAACATGTAACATACATGAGAAGACCGCAGACAATTCAAAAGTTTTTCCTTTCCGTCCTCTTCCCAAAAAAATCCATGTACATATATATCGCTCTGTCTTTTCCCTATTAACAGTACGTCTTCCTGGAAACAAGGCGAGAAGAAAAATCTACCAATGAAATGAAAAATGATGTGCAAACATTTACGACATCTGTTTTTCTTTTGTCTCCAACGCATACATGGTGGAAACCCAAGGAGAGAAATCTATCATCAGTTAAGATAATGGAGAAAATCACAGTCCACAGCAAATTTTTCACATCAGCCTGATAGAAATAATAAGCAAGCATTTAGAAGAGGACGGAAAGCAATTAAAACATAATTAAAATAAATGGATAGAAGGAGACAGCCCACATGTCTTCACATGAAATACAAGGCTGAGTGCAACAGCGGGCAGAATGAATGTGGGGCTCCTTTGACAAAGCTTGTGTCTGCCCAACTCAGGCTGGAGAGGAGTCCGGTGAAAGAGAGAGTGGGAGACGGGGGGAGTTGGGGAGTTTGTAAGCCGAGTGGGACTAAATAGATGGGAGAGGGAGAGCAGAGGAGGAGAAGAATGGAAGGGGGAGAAAGGAAGGGGCGGTAGGGTCACCGTTGGAGGATTGACAGCCTGTGAGTATGGCCTGACCTCCTGGGTTCGCCTCCAAGTTTTCTCCACAGGCTTAGAGAAGACAAAAATAAAGCCCAGGAATGTTAATTTATTTTCAATTGTCAACGCAGAGAGAGGAGAGAGATAAAGAGCGCATACATACATATCAAGTAAGACTGAAACAAAACTAATGCGCAAGTCCAAGTGTTTGCTGAAAACCCACAAGTGAAATAGAGATGTGGCTCTGTTGAGCTGCATCTTGCCAACACAATGATTCGTCTTTGAATAGCCACCAATTTGGAGAACTTTCTGCTCCGCCTCCATGCCCTACATTCGGCACAAAAAAAGACTAACATGTGAGAGGGAGAGTTTCAAACATCAGAAAATGGTTGATGGGTAAGAAGTGGGAGACGGGAACTACAGGAACTAAGAAAATACAGCCTCCAGACACTTCTTCTGTCCTCCGTGCACCCTGATGTTCCCAAGGAAGTCTTTTGTCATGACAGTCCTGTCAGGGCTGTGCTTTCACGCCCTTCAGGGACATGATGTCATTTCCTTGGCTCCACCAGTGATGTATAGGAGTTGCCATCAACTGCCAGAAACAGCGATGGGCCGACACCAAATGCAGCAAACAGACAGTGTTTCATCAACGCAGAGCTGATGTACGACTATCAAGATTAAAGATGGCGTAAACTGAGCTTTACAACCGTACACACTGGAACCAAGTCGATTTTTCAAATGTTTCATCTAAAACTATTCATCAATAAGATTTAAAGATCGAAAGAAGGTCATTTCCTTTTAAGGCACAAAATCCACTGTGTTAAAATGTGAATAGTTCTTTGTTTCCTTGCTCTTCTGTGATAGTAAAATCGATATTGGACTGTTGGTTGGGCACATGTGACAACTGACTACACAAATGTTTGATTTGATGGACATTTTAAAATATTTTTAGACATTTGATTGATTCATGTGTGATCAGAAGTAAAAGCAGTTTTGACTTTTAAGAAATAAATATAAACCTGAAGCAAAAAATGCATTGTTCCATTAATTGCAGCCCTGCAACACTGGAATTAAGGATTAATATACGTATTTCTAAAAGACGACTTCGGTTAAAAAAACAGAAAAAAACAAACTTCATTCATTTCACAAGGTCAAAAGCGACATCTTCAAATTTGAAATGTGCACCACCTAAATGAATACGTTTTTCTCACAGTGAATCAAGAAAAACTGTTTATATTCACATTTGGAAGCAGAACAAGGCTGTAACCATTAACCATTTTGCTTGTTAGCTTTCAACATGAACAATTGATAATCAAAATAATTACTGATTACTGATCGAGTTTTCGGTAATCAACTGATCAGTTGAGCCGCAGTTTGCTGGAATTTCTTAAGGCTTTCTGCTGATTTTTAGGATACCATAGCTTTGGATTACTTCCTATGAGCCGGTTTGAGCTACTACATCAGACTTACTGCTTGATTCAATACAAATATATTTTACGAAAGCCATTTTCTCAGATATAGCATATATCACAGAATTGCTCTCACATACTCGAAATTCTACAGTATGTTTAGGCGACGGGTGTTGCAGAGGTAAAGTTTGCAGGAGGCTGGATAG